GAAAGAGTGCAATGAATTTGAATGCTGATGAAGTACTTCAGCATTGCATACTTCACACTTGAGTACCAGCATGTGACCAGGATACGCTGATCCTCTTAGAGGACACTGTCAAGGTTGCCAGGCTAAAGTTTTAAACTATTTGAAGATTATTCATACATTTTTTAGTTACAGCATAAACCTTTGTCCCTGCTCCTGGAAGACCTGCTTTTTTCCAAAACCAAGAGAGTTACAACTCTTAACAAAAATGCCTCTTTCTGTAGAAAGCAAATCCCCAAACACACCCTGATCATACACATGTGTTTTACTGGGTTTCATTCTTCTGCTTGCTTTGTTCTTGTCAGAATGTAAAATTCTGGAATCAACAGGCATCTCTCAAGTCTTGGGAAAATTGGATTTGTATAGGTTTCCTGCAGTACCTCACCAAACCAAAGCAGATGAGAATTGGAGAACTAGCAAGTCATGCTTTTGTGTAAAGGCCAGCAAATCAAGAGCTGGCTGGAAGGTCTAATTTTATGCTGACAACACTCAGTAACCCAGGAGTGGGCAATCATTGTGGCTGGGGGGGTGTATGGTGGGGTGTAGCGGGGTGTGTGTTTATGAGACGGTGTGGCTGTGTGTGTAGGGAGGTGTAGGGTATGTTGTGGGAGGGGTGTATATGAAGGGGGGCTTGTGAGAGCCGGGTGTGGGTGTGTGGGGTTTGTGGGCTGTCAGGGGGCGGGGGGGATCTCCTGCACAATCCCCCTTATGGTGCACAGCCCCCACCAGTGGCTGCAGTAACAGTAGCAGCAGGGGGCCCTTGGGCCACTTTTGGGCCACTTGTGGTCTGTACAGGTGTTGCCGCAGCTTGGCAGCGTTTGGCTTCAGTAGAGCTGCACCTGGTGGCAAGGAGCGCAGCCAGGCCAGCCCACCTCTGTTGCATGGGGCTCCCCACGGCACACGTGCAGCTCCCAGCACTCGTGCGCCACCAGGGAGAAGCCCCACATGATGGAGCCAGCTGCCTTCCCTGCTGCCTGCTGCCATGTGCAGCTGCTGGGACTCTGCTGGAAGTGGCAGGGAGCTCTGCCCGCTGTGTCCGTGGTGGCAGGGAGCAAGGAATGCAGCCGGCTCCATCGTGCGGGGCTTTGTGCCACAGGGAGCCCCACGCAATAGAGCCAGGCCATCCTGGCTACACTCCTTGCTGCCATGTGTGGCTCTGGCCAGAGCTGCAAGCAGGCCACAAGCGCCCCAAGGGCCCACTGTTTGCTGCTGGGGGAGTTTCTGGGGGGTCTCCACATACTCCCTCACACCCATACCCTGCCCACCCAAGCTCCACATTCCTGCCACCCCCTGGGTGCAGGCTCTGCACACCCACCAACCCCATGCTCCTTGCCCCCACCCAGCAGATGCAGGAGTGGCAGCAGCAGCCCCACTTGGAAGCTGCGTGCTGGCTGAGCCAGGGCCCTTCCATGCACGAGGGTGGGAACAAGGCCCGCAGGTTGGGCAGGGTACAATTAATTGGTGGGAGCCCGCAGGCTGGATGACATTTCCTGGTGGGGCCGTATTTTACCTGCTTCTGCACTAGCCCTTCTATTGCTTGCTGAATGTCTGCAGCAGATGCCTTAGGTCCTTGACTTTTGCACTCTGGCTTTCTGATTGCATAGGATGTATCCAGTCTAGTGTTAGGAACAATTGTTGTAAAGAGAGATGTGTGAAGAGGTAACTGGTGATTCCTGTCAACCTGTGTGGTTAACTAAATGTTGGGGTCTTGAACATTGCACCATTTAGGAGGAAAAATTAATGTTGTAGTTGAGTCTCTCTTTGGCACAAGGACATACAAAACCCTGCTTCCTTAGGCATTAGAAGGAATCGGATTGGAGGAAGTTTCCTTCCTTGTGGCACTGAGTTTCTTTCAGCGTGGACCCCCCCAAAAGCACACTCAGTCCCCATGGGTTGTGCTAGAAATGACACCTTTCAGCCAGTCGAATTGCACAGCTCTCTCCTACTTTAATATCCCAAACCTGGAGGCTGATAAGAATCTTGCCACCTCTTTGGGCTGTGCCTTATTCTGGCTTAGATTCCAGTTTTACAAGGATCCTTTCCTGAAATACGCCAGATCACATTTGTCGCAGGCTCTTGTGTTCTGCAGCTTTGTGCTATTCCCAGCCCTCCTGGAGCACAGAGTGTAGGTGTCTGCTGCAGTGTCCAAGTCCTAAATCACCCCCACATGCTGAGCCTCTGCTGCAGACAGTAATTTAGAGAGCGTCTGGGAACAGCACAAACGCCAACAACACCATTAGCTAAAAAGGTCAGGGAGGAACCTGAATGGCGAACAGAACAGGGCAGTGTATGGCCATAAGGATGATCAGAATAGCAGGGTCTAAAAATGGGGGAGAAAAAGGGGTCTTTCCTCCCTCCATTATGCATACCCCTCATTCCTGGCTGGAATTGTTTGGGTTGCTTCCTTTCACGACGGAATTATCTGCTTTTGTACCATGAGTAATGCATAGCTGGTGTGCTCTGTGGTTTCAAGAATGACCTGTGCTTTGAAGTACCTTCATTTTTTAAACCCGGTCAGAGCTCTGAAAGGGCTGAGTGCCTGTCAGCAGC